TCTAGCTCGGTTTGATATTTAGTTGCAACACAAGCTACAGCCAATTTGCTGACATTAACCCGTTCAGGATGGTGAATTTGTCGGCCACTGAAGCGTAAGGTGAGATTAGCGCAAACAAGGCCATGATCAGATTACAGACAGGTACTCTGAAAAGAGTGGCAGTCTTGTACACAACCACGCCAGCGGTAGCTGATCACAATGTGACCAATCTGAGTTTAGGTTTAGGATGCAGAGGGAGGACACCAAGTGGCGCATCGGCGATGATTGTGCCGGTAGTTAGTGCCAGCCAAAAACAGAATGTGGCCTATGAGAAGCTGCATAAAACGATCACCGTCATCTGACCAACAAGTTTTCATCGGCCACCTAAACGACTCTTCTGTGTCTAGACACCCGATCTGAGTATTCATGTATCCGGCTAGTACTACATTATCTGTCGAATGCATTTTCTGTCGAGAAACAGTTAACTTTTGACAAAACTCATCCTTGATCGCATGTAGGCTGCAATCTGTCTGAGCGTTGACGGAGATGATGAAAATATATCGTTTCTCACACCAATTTCTTTGTATTTTGATGGAATTTTCAGATCTAACTGCACATTACCGACTGTTAATGCGGATCCAATCGATTAGTGCTGCCTCAGCTCTAGCGCTTAGTGCGACATCTCCAATACGAACGTCAAGACAGTTCTATTGTACGGAGCTGAAACGTGGAGAACTACTACAACCATCATCAAAAAGGTACAAGTACTTATAAATAGCTGTTTACGAAAGATAATCATCCATTGGCCGGATACCAGCCTTCTGTTGGAGAAAACAAACCAGCTGAACAGGGAATTAGGAAGAGACGTTGGAAATGGATAGGACATACATTACGCAAATCATCAAACTGCATCACGCGGCAAGCGCCAACTTGGAATCCTGAAGGGAAACGAAGAAAAGAAAGATCAAATAACACATTACGTCGAGAATTAGAAGCAGATATGAAAAGGATGAATAGCAACTGGAAAGGATTGCTTGGGACAGGGTTGGGTGGAGAATGCTGGTTAGAGGCCTATGCTCCTTCATGAGGAGTAACAAGCGTAAGTGAGTAATTAAGTATAGCAATCATTGATTTGAGTGAGGTTTGTGTTACTCTATATGTGCCCAAAACGAAGCAGGTCATTCAATAATGTAAAGTTCCGTAACTAAACAATCGAAAACGTGTTTTAACTGAACTTTCTGTCAATACGTTTAAACTATAATCTTATGTTAAATAATAATTTGCATGATTTTTCTGCACTAATAATCATCGTTTTACCCAATACCATATACGTGATTATGTTGTGAATGAGAACACAGGTTGGGACGGCTAATGTGTTTTAATACAAACTTACAGAATATCTTTTTAAGATATGACAACCACGCACTAAACACTTCATTTGAAAAATTCCATCATTTGTCCTTCACATTCTGTATGGTTCTTCAAGTTTACAACTCTTATCTATTCTCCCTTCTATTCTTTTTAACACAAACTTCCCAACCTTCTGCTGCCAGGATTTCCACTTCCGGTCGATGCTATATACTACTTATGTCGACACACATAAGTAGCATATACCACAATTCCAGAAAAAATGTACCGTCTTATATTCGTTCAACTTGTGAATACTGAAACGGAAATTTTAAGTAATTGGTCTTTCATTAAGTTTCAAGCCTGACACGTGAGTACATACGTTTAACATAGAGAAGGAAATTTTTTGGTAATATTTACACCGTTTGGAAATAGGTGGCCGAGACGTTTGGATGGTTGCCAAATTATTTAGTTCTTGATACACCGTGATTCTTTATTCATTAAAAAATTTATTTGAATATTAAAAGTTAAGTGACACATCACAAGCAATACACTAATATGTTTTGTTAAATATTTGAAGGCATTTTCAGAAAGTCCTCAGTCACTTATTGTCAGCGTAAGGCCTGTGACGAGTGTGCATCAGTCCGAGTTGCAATATCACATAAAGTCTTGGGTCTTAATTTTACACTTGTCTGGAATTAAAACGTGAATCGGATTTTGCATTTATCAACACATTATTTCTGTCAACAGTCTGCTAAAGTTCCAGCCCTTAGCCAAATGACTTGGTTTAGTCAGGTTCTCGTTATGCGACAGCTTTGAGATTCCAGATATCAGATTAGTTGGGGTTCTTCAAGCTTTTTCCGTTAGCTCAATTATTTTTAGACGGGCTGATTGCTTCCATGCAACACTCGAGATTTGGTTCAACGAACATTATACAATATCACAAAAGTTACTATATTCCCTTTATCTGGGAAGAGGTATCATCCTACATTGACTAATAATCATTGAAGTTTCCACGAAGATACAGAGGTGTCGAATGGTATTACCTAATCTACATCATCTATGACATCAGTAAAGCATCTAAATATCTACAAAAAAAGTCTCTCCTATGATATGTTCGTGAGATATGTTTTTTAATGTCGAAATGTTGAAATCAATATTACATGATAAACCCATCATCTTAGTCAAGAGGAACGAATCAGCCAGAAATCGCACAAACTAGAAACGGCTGAAATGAGTTAGATGTATATTATGTATCCAAAGCTTTTGTCCTTTTTACAAAACAGGAGTCTTGTCATAGTTAGTAAGGATTCCCAACTGTAAAGTTGTTCTCGATAAGCTCTACCTTTCGGTATAAAGTTATAAATCCATCAATATTATATCATAATGAACAATATAAACTGTAAATAGATTTGTATTGAATCAATCTGTGGTTTTGAACTACATTGCTTATAATTTCAATAGTCGCTCATCATTTTAGTTGAAATCGATTTAAAGAGAATTAATAATCTGATATGCTGAGAATCCGCATGATTTTCATTGTTTGCTTAAAATATATAAACACAACTATGAATAAAATATACATCTTAACGCTTGAAAAGAAAAAATCTTCACAGTTTAAACCCTCATATTTTCAAATTTATCTCGGTTATTCTATTAGTTTCGATACACAGTCTCAAAAACCACAACATATCCAGTGATTTAGGCAAACATTTGTGCTTTAAACTATAAATATTCCTACCATTATTTTGTATTTATCAATAATATTTTGCTTAGTTAAACTGTAGTCCATAAACAAAGGAGAAGGAATAATCTGACAGGCTGTTTCACATTAGGCCATGACCTTGAAATTATTGAATAACCTTGAAGCTAGCGCCAGATAACCAATAGACCAATCACAATATTTTATCGATCCATTAAGCTTGCTAGGGTTATTTGTCCGCCCTGCTCTTATAATTGTTATTGTTTCTTGTCCTAGCCGGCCGTAATTTATTAGCTGTTCAGAGTTTTCTCTTGGAATTAAGCTATTTTATCCAATTTTGATTTGTTCGACTAGAACTATAGAATGAAAATATCATTCTTAATGTATATACCACCTACAACATGAAAAAGACTAGATTTTTGTGGATTCGTGATTTACCTGCAAAATGTAAAGATGCAGATTTGCGAAATGTTCTTGAAAGGTAAATTTTTAACGGCGGTTTTTTCTCTCTATTTTAATACGTTATCTCTATTTTTGTTGAGTTTTATATCTATTCAGTGGAACTTTTCTCAGTTAGTTTTGTTGCTATTACCTTTCATGTGTATCAGTATATTGATTTTATAAATTTTAAAATATATTTCTCATTTAAAGGCATGGTGGTGGATCAATTCAAAAAATTCGATTATTTAAAGAAGGTCATATGCGTCATGCTATAGTGACGTTTGTGGATATTAAGTCAGCTGCAGCAGTTATTAATACAGAGAATAAAATTAATGATTCATTATTAAAAATGGAATATTGTAGTTCAGCTGATACAACAATAGGAATTATAAATCATAAAAATATCAATTCACATCGTAATAATACAGAAATTACAAATCAATTGCCGACATTTAATAATAATAATAATAATAATAACAGTAATCATAATAATTCGGATCGTAAAACAGAAAAGTGAGTTCACCGTATATTGATTGTTGTTATGTTCTTACTAGTTGTTGTAATTAGGTTTTATATTGTTTAGTGATATTTTATCGTCTATCATCCTTAGGTTATTCTGATAATGTATTATGTGTGTTTTAGTGCAACAACATGAATATTCTGACTGATACCGACCTATTTTGTTAATGTTCTCAATGTCTTAACTTTGTGAATAAGTTTTGTATCATAGAAAAACTTAATGTTTGGTAGATTTTGCCTATTTAGACTGGTACACTTCCATTAATTTTTCCTTATTCTTCTATAATCTAGTGAGCCAACTCAGGATACGTTTCTTTTTTTAAAATTGAATTTCCCGTTACCGTTTGATTTTCGTCCTTTGGTATTTACTTTAGATGTTTTTGTGCATATATATTGGGGGAACTGTAGCAATGTAAATTGATTTGGGTAAATCTTCCATTTTTACTGATTGTCTACTATCTCCAGTAAAAATGTCACTTTTTGTGATATTCCTAAGATGTTTAGCTTTATGTATTCTATGTAAGTTCTATTCATCTATCTGAATATTTCTATGGACTATAGCTGTTTTCATTCTAAAAATCATTATAAACGACAGGTAGGGTATCCTTAACATTGGTATGAATTGCATTATCTTAAATGTTCCTATTCTTCTGGTTGTGATAAGCTAAGGTACGTAGGCTATTTGTAGTGTTCTAGATTGATTGGTTAATATGAGGTGAAATTAAGCAGACTGTATAAGTGATGAATTAGTATATAAATTTGTAGAATTGTAGATTTTTTACATATTTAGGTTCGGAACGATGGTGATATCTTTCGCGTTATCAAATAGATAGGAACTTCATAAAATTTTGTATGTTTCTAATCTATATAATAGTTGTATTATTGTCTATTAGCGCTTCATTAATCAAGTCCCTTTATTTTATTTATTGTAATTACAGTAACAACAGTCTTGAACTCCTATTATATTTAGAGATGTTTATTGTACGTGTTTTCTAATCATTTTATTTATGGTTGGTAAAAATATATGTACAACTCAGATTCATACTCTCTTTTTTAATTAACTGAAATTGATTTTCGTTAACTTTTGATTGATATAATATCATTTCTGTATTGTCTATGATGTTTAGGTGTAGTATGATTAGCGTTTGTGCCTTGTGGATCATTCCAAATATCGATTTTATACATGAATTCAATTTTTGTACAAATAGAAATGTGTTCTAACGTACCTCTTTGTTTAGGTCATCCTTTCTTTAACCCCATAGTTTACGAATGTCAGTGTATTTTGTGTAATTCTAGAGCTTCGATACACCTATTTGTTTAGATTTGATAAAGGTTCAGTATAAATGTTTTTTTCTCTAAAGATAATCAATCAGTTTGTATGACAAGAATTTAATTCCAAATTGTTATGGTACATAAAATAGTTTCCTACGAAATGCAAGTGATCCATCGGTTTTTAGGATCTAATCCATTATTATTCCTTGTAAATGTCCTTGTACATTGAGTTTTTCTTTTATGTCAATCAGTAATGTCTCTGTAACATTAGATCTAAGCATGAAATCATTCATAACCATAATTCTGATAACGTTCGTCTTCTCATTGAATTATCTAAATTTATCGAATGGACTAGTTATTTAACATTTAATATTTTGTTTTTATTCTTACTCCATTAAAAGACAGTTTATGTACATTGTTAAATCAACTTCGTTTCATACTCTGTTTATATTATAACGCTTAAAGATTTCTAATGACATGTTATCCGATTTCACTTTACTATTATCCTCATTTATGTTATCTATTCTCATTGATTTTACTGTTCTATTATCATTATTCTTTGTTTTGCAATTCCTTGATTTATATGAAAGAGATTAAGTTTATAGCTTCGGTTTCCATAGCACCTCATTATTCCTGGTATGTATCCAAATTTTGCATAAAAACCACTATTTACTACTTTCTTAACTCCATCTTTTATTGTTACTAGTATTACTATAATATAACTTCATGTACAATGATTGAACACTTGACTAAATCTACTGGCGTTTAGTCAATATTTAACATTTCTTTACACCATGCCTGACTAGAATTTAATTTAGAGTGCTTTTTAGCTTCATTTTATCGAATTACTTCTTACAAGCTGTATTCATATACTTATTATGACTTATTTTACATGAGTTAAGTTGATTCTATTAAACTTTACACCATTAATAATTCCCCATAGTGTTCTTTCTCTACAATAGAAATGATTGAGAATGTTTACAGTTATTAAAGTCATATACTAATGAATGTTTATTTAAGAAGTTCAAATCAAGTATTCCTTTACCATTACCAGTCAATAATTTATAAATTACAGCTATTCAAAATCTATTTTCACATGAAAACAGAATTACATAGTTTTTCATTCATATGACAGATAGTATTATGACCATTCAGTTATAACAGCTTGTCTAAATTGCAAATTAATAAGAATGTGGATTTTGGTTCAGACACTCAACTACCATGGAACTGCATCTCCTTACGATGCTTCACTGCCTTGTGGTTCAGACCTTTAGGTCAAAGGCTCCGGGTGCGACCCCCTGAGAAAACCACCTGCTTCGGTCTGGCACCCGGGCAGTATCAAAGCCATCATACAAATGAAATGAGATTTCTGTGGCACATATGTATCTAGTGCCCCCTTGTACCAGTATATATGTGTTCAAATCAGTCAATCAAATCACTCTCAATAAATATGAAAATTTATACTTGCTCTACTAATCTCTATCTCTACGTTGAAATAAATGTTATGTGGTTAATGAAAATATGATTTACACCCTGAAACTGGTTTATACTGAACTGGTAAACTGCAATTCAGTGGTGTTGTTTCATTTTTCAGTAAGTAGTGAGGTTAAACCAAGAGAGGAGTTGAGATCTTTAATTCGCAACAAGAATTTTGAGAAAACGAATCTACTTTGGTTATAATAGTAGTTTTGTCTTAAGTATTATAATTCAGGTAGGCACTTTCTGCTACGATAGTATCAGAATAATTTGCTGCGAAATTCCTTGAGTACTTCGTTTTGTAATTATTGTTATTTATCAACTCGTCAATCAGTTTAGTGTATTTGCATATCACAAAAGATTCTATAAGTAATTGATTATTTATCTATCAAGGGACGAGTTCTTAAAATGTTATTTATGTTATCCATACACTTGTTTTGTGCGTATAAATTAGTTGGGTTTAAGGTAGAATAATTTCCCCGCTTGTCCCATCCACCCAACGTTTGTCTATCGCTTCTGTGCTTAATAGTATTCTGAGACAAGATCTTATCTACTCACTGAAGCTTTATATTTTCAGGCGTATTTGTAAATTAACTGAACCATGTCATTCGGGAAAATTATGCTCAAAATAATTGTTACTAGTACTCTTATTCTGGATTACTAACTCAAAAAAAAATCAGCTTCATTGTTATTTCCGATGATTAATTATTCTTCTATCCATTGCTTTTTAAAAAAATGATTCGTACATTATATGGAGTTTAGTTTTCATCAGATTATTCACAATCAGTAACGACAGTATTCTTTGAAATCAATTACACTATATACAATCTTAAAGATCACAGAATAATGTCATTGTGTTGGAAAAAAATTGTTATTTCTTTTACCATCTTAGTTCATTTGATTTCCACTTGATGTTCGTTGATTCGATCAGTTCTATTTTTCACCAAAATATATAAGTCTAAAAACTGTACCTTTTTTTGTGGGGCTGGGGCTTTTAAATCTTCATTGTTATTGTTATTGTTTGAATCTATATCATAGACTGGAAAAAATTTTTCTTAGACTTTTCTTAACCGACATGAATAATACGCTTATGATTAATGAAGTGACGTTTCTACTGATGATTAAATTTGTGATTTATGTTGTTTATCGATAGCTGAAAATGTCGAGTCACTTAAAAGCTTTTCGTGTACTCGTCTCTCTGGCTTTGTTTTGATTAATTTTATAATGAATTTTCTGTTGTGTTATTGTTGTTCAAGTTTAGCAACGTAAATTTCTGCAGAAACGTCAAACTTCACGCTAGCGAAATTATCTAGTCATAATTCTTGATATCACTTCTTGTTAGCGACAATATCTAATCGGTGTCTATGATACGATTTTCATCTAGGTATTATGAATTCTAAACTCTGAAATATGTTTATTAATTTTACTCAATAAATAAATTTTGTAATCGCATCATTGTAGCGTAATAGTAATGATGTTTGATGATGTAGAGTTAAGTATTGTTATTCTTTTGATAAGAAATATCAAACCGTGTACGATTGAATATGGTTCTCAATATAAATAGTTCAGTAACTTCCATACTACACCACAGGAACTTTCTTAAACATGAGAAGTTGGAGAAATGCTTCTGTCACATTTTACTGTCAGAAGAGTGGTATTAGTTCCATAAATAGGGAGGTTCCAGAATTCATAAGACTGCTTAAAGTTAGATGTTCCTCAGTATCATATTCTCAGTGCTGACCGTACTAAATTCTTATTTTTGGCTTGTTATTTATGCATTAATAATTTGATTAGCTACCGATAAAGAAGTTTTAATTACGTTTTATCTATTTGCTTGTTTTTTTTTCAATCATTTATATTTGTAAATCTTTACAATCTGAATAAAATAATCAGGGAAGCTTCGATATTTATCTATCAAATTCATTCTGATCATTATCTCTGAAAAAGTTCCGAGGAAAGTTTGTTTTTCCACTATTTCCAAATATAAGATTTATTTCCATAATAAGAGTTTAGTTCTGTTTACCATTGTAACAGTTTACATCCGATGGAACTACTTAAGATTTATTTGCTTGCTGGTTGGTCACCTCCAACACTCCTTTGTAAAATTATTGTATCACTAATCTTCCAATCATGCTTAACTAACAATACAAAGATTAGTTGACTATGCTTTTATAATTTATTGTTTTAACTCAAAACTGTGTTTACACTAATTGTATTCCTAGACATAACACCTCACCAAAATCCTCCCGTATAAGTGAATTTTTTAATTGCTGGTAAAACAATAACTTATAATTAGTATTATGATTCAAATTTTTCCTAACTCTGCGTACACGTTAATCAATCTTACTTATCCTTACACGTTCGTGTTAGCAAGATTGTAATTAGTCAATTGAGACGGTGAGTATTCTTTCATGTTCATTCACTACAAATTGTGAATCAAGATAAAAGCGATTGATTAGATGATTATATTTCTTCTTAGTACAACCTTGATGTAAAAAGTTTTTTCTTTTCACTTAATCCAACTAACCATCGTAATATATTCGAGTTGAAGATGTTACTAAAGTAGTCGTAGTGCGTACGAAGAACTAATAGTAACAAGCTAACGAAACCAAAGAAAAAAGTGTTACAACAGTTTGATCATAATTCAAATAGTTTTACTATGCCTCTTAGTTCTCGATCGTAGGAATTTGTCTGACTCATGGAATGAGCTAATCTGAATAATTAACTATGACTTGGAACAAAAGGTCATAATCTCTTGATTTAACTGTTCAAATAGTGGAGTCGTCTTTTTGTGTTTCTACATAATTGTTTTTCATAACTTTGCTAAGTATTATTATTATTATTATTATTATTGTGTACAGTGAAATAATTGGTTTTGCTCATTTTCTCAGTTTTCTTTTAAAATCGGTTGTAAATGGTTGTTCTTCTGAAACAAATAGCAAAGCACACAGACAAACTGAATCTTTTATGTGGTTTGACAAATTTCTTTTAAGTTATTTGGAACTGTTGATGTTTATCTCTCCAACTTGTAATTTCAGTAACCTAGATTCCATGGAATTTGTGTGACTTATTAGTTAGTTTACTCTCTCAGAAACCTTAGTTTTCTATGTACTTCAAATAAATGTAAACATAGAGATTGAAAGTGTACATAATTTTTCACAATTAGTATCTTGCGTACACAATGTTTGCACTTATAAATAGTTGACATGTCTTTTTTAAAAGAAAGGAATGTATTAAATGAACGATAGATAGTAATGTAACAAATATTTTAATATGCAACTGATTATACTAGTCACAGTACCATAAAATAATACTTTTGGTATTAAGACTGTCGAATTCCTGTGTGATGCTATGCAGCTGTTAACTGATTCACATATGTCAGGTTCTACGTTGCATATGACCGACTGATTAGTATAGCCTTTAACATAAATTGTATGATGTTTAACAATACAATTATTTTCATGATTACCGTTGTCCCTACTTCACACTTCCCATGCGTAATTTTCAATGATATGATTCTTTTTGTATTACAAAAACACTAATAGTGTTATACAAAACCGTGACTTGTATCGGAATATAAATTTAGTTATGTGTTTAATGTTCGACAAAGTTTATAATTTTGTATTACAAACAAATTATATCTAGGCCCCAAGATGTTTTATAATGCCCGAATTTGTTTCACATTATGTAATAGTATATTCTATTGTCATTTGAATGTCCATTTCGATACGAGAATTTTCTCAGCTTCCTTATTTATGTTCGATGTATTTTCTCAGAGATTTTCTTTTTCTAAACTTAGTCTGATCAAAATAATAATTCCTACTTACCTAAATAACGTAATAAAGATGGTAACAGTGTCTGGTTTATACTATATTGTTTAACCTGTCGTACGAAAATCAATTGAATATTTTACCGGGATTATTTAACTACACATCCCTTTTCTCGTTTCTTTTGTCCTAGTAAACAAATGGGTCACAAGAATACCAGTTATTTCATAACAAGATTCGTTTTGTACACTTTGATGAAATGAGGTGGCTGAGTTGTTCACATAGTAATTGTTCATCCACAAACAACCTAGGTCACAATGAATCGGTTCACTTTTCCACAACGAGATTAAATTAACTAGATGCATACAAAAAATGTCGAAATAATAATAGTATGATTGGGCAAATGACTAACCGTAGGAAATAAGATTTAGAAAGGAGTAAAGAGTTTCAAATAACTTTAAATCTAAGAATCAAATGAATGATATAGAAATAAGGTTTTACACCACTTCTGCCGATTTTGATACATATCACCTTACGGTCTCCAAATATTCAATCACTCAGCACTCAACTAACCCTGTTCCTCTAATTTCAGTTTTAACCAAATAGTGAGTTGTCACTCAGTCTTATACAATCAATTTTAGTTAGAGCCAAGTACACGAATTTTCGCTTGATATTTGTATCATTATTCATCCTGATAAAGAAAATAGGTTCATCATTCAAAATCTATACATAGTTCATATTTTTTTCTCTTCTCTCAAAACCAGTACTTTTTTGAAAGAAAAAAAGTATACCAATACTTCATGTATTATTTGTTTTCTTAAAGTAAATCATGTTTAAATCAGTAATATATTTCGTTCTACTTAGTAGTATATTATGTGACAGCTATATTCCTTTTTCATGCATATACATGTTCTTTTCGCATTATTCACGTTCGATTATTGCTTTTTTTAACAAGATATTTAATATACCTTTAGTAAGTAATGCAATCGATTGTTTTTCTTCAGTCAGATGCATAATGATGCTTACACTTGATACGTTTACGTATATGTAGAAAAAAATTATTTTTTTCCTTTTGGTAAAGCACTCCTACATATTTGTGTTAAACACCTTTTAAATGATTTACATTATTTAAAGAGTTTTGATGGCATTCTATAACTAAGTCGTTTCAATTTTAAACTCATCAGTCCATTCAGCCAATTGTGTGAAACTCCAAATGTTTTCTTAATGTTAAAATAGCTAACTAATCAACGAGAAGGAACTTTCGCATTTTTCGAATTCAATCTTTCGATCTTTATCTATTGAAAACCAGAAAACACTGGTTATTTGTTTCGTCCTAGTCTAGGAAATGTGCTTATCCACGATCACATCGAACCCGGGGCCTTCAGATCTCGCGGCGAGCGCTAAATCTTTAAATCACTGAGCTGGTATTTAATGGTTCAGATGTTTAACTTCAATCGATTCTCAATATTTTTAAATATATATACGTATACTCAGTGCATTTAACTTGTTCTCATTCTACCTGGATATATAGAATTACCCTAATAGTGTCACTCATATTTTAGCTATTCCAGAATTCTCATCGTTTATTAAACCAATTTAAGATCCAAAGGTGTTTTATTTTTGCTCCTAAAATACGTTTGGTTTCAAACACAATACTTGCTTATTACATTTACCTTTGATCGATTTCACTGTGAAGTTTAAAGAGGAAAATAATGAATAACTTTCGAGAAAGGAGAATATTCCATTCCATTTTATTGCGTCGACTGAATGATCTAGGAAATCTTTTGTGCACCACCTACTGTTTGTTGTTAACTCACTTTGTAGTTATTTCATTGTTGTGATGGTAGCTTTGAAGTTATGAGGTATCATTGTTTGGAATTATACTTTCGAAAATTAAACGAACAGTCTAGTTGAGCCACTGTTGGCTATAAAAGTTGCATTAGTTAACGAAGCCTACCACCAAGTACTGATTTATGTAATTCATCCTATATATATATATATATATATATATATATATATATATATATATATATAGAATACGCCGTACTATCGTCTTATCAGAATCACACTTAGCCTATGTTCTAGGCCTAGTTTTTATCACCGAATCCAAAAGAAACTTAGTTTTTTCTTACTTAATGATATTACTTGGTTGTCAAAACTTAGAGTACAAAACATAACCTAGTTTGGATATGTATCCTAATGGTTGAATGCGAAGTGAATGGTTTAATTACCAAGTTATCATCACCTAACTGTTTTTAAAACGTGGATACCCTCTTTTAAAATCCCCAGCCCAGCAATCACCCACTGTCTTCTCATTATTCCCAACCATAGTTTTATGTAGTTTAATATTAAAATTCTGATCAGACGAAGTTTCCTTTGATTTTAATCAAACTATTTTATATGTTCATGTACTTAAGCAGAGTATATTTCAAAAAGTTATTGGTTAATTTGATTGTATAAACTATTTCACATAATGACCAATGTAACTTTTAATGATGTAGTTACAATGACGAAATTGTATAACTCGATAGTTCAGTGATACTCGGTTTACATTCAGATTGAATAGGGTTGGTCACCATACTTGATTGTAGTTGTATTCTCCATAAATTCACAAGTACAATATTACACAGATTTTCGGTTCAACCAATTAGCTCTTAACAATTCATATAAATCATGTGTTTCTGTGGTTGTATACAGATCACTTTGAGATGGGCTGGTAGCTTAGTGATTAAAGGGTTCAATTTACATTCTATAAGTTACTCGTTCGAACTACTCCTTACGTGTTATGGTTTGGACAACCAAACAATATCACCAGTACTCACACTCGAAACCGAGTACACTGCTAGGTACCCAGCTAATGAATTAAATAAATACATTTTCTATTTAATTGAAGTTCACTCTGAATTGTTTGAAATATTTCTGTACATTAGATTTAAATTCATCTCTTATCTATAAAATTTCCAGTATTAATAATATTGTCTTTAAAAAAAATTTATGACAGGGAGTTGAATACTAACGCTCTTCATAAAGGATCAAATGATTCACATCATTCACTTCCTAACAATGATCAACTGGGAAGAGGACCACTGATATTTAAACGTACAACTAACAACAACACTTCATCAAATATTGTTAACAATGTTCAGATGTTCAGTCAAGTATTACGTCCAGTTCAAAGTTCCACATTAACAACACGTATGTCAAATTCCTATCGTGGTTTAAAAATTAGCGATCTCCCACCTCCAAGTAAATTATCTGACGCTCATTTAAGACAAAGTTTATTTACTGAATTTCGACGATGTGGTCGTATCCAATCAGTGGTTCTACCTCCAACAAATAATGGTTCAACAAATACAACTAGGTTAGCAATTGTAACATTTCGACGTGCAGAAGAGGCCGAATGTGCTTATCAAGCAATTCAAGGTGGTGCTAAAATTCTATTCTCTACTCCTGTTTCAGTTGAATTACATCCAGGGTCAAATGGTAAGTGTTGTGTTGGCTTTTTCTTTACAGTTTCTTGTCTTTTTTCTGTAATATGGATCAATGTAGCTTACAATAATTTACCGAAGCTGATCGTTTTTTAAAATTCTGATAATGATTTCGCCTTGGTGTGTTGATGTAATGTAGGGACTTGAATCTTTGCCTTTATGTACCTGATTTCATGTCTCATAATCAACTAGATGTTTATCATTTTAGTTGAATGAAAGTGTTATTTTCTCCTGTATATTTGTCCGAAATGATGAGTTTTAACCATGAAGATTTCATTGAGGTCAAGAACCGATCAATATTAGGGACCACCATTGAAAACTTGGAAGAACTGGACGGCCGTTTCATCCTACTGTGGAACTCCTCAGTAGTACGCATCCACAACCCCCCTCACGGGATTCGAACCCAGGGCCTTCTGTTTCGCATGCGAACGCCTAAGCTACTAGACCACTGAGCCGGCATCCAATGGTGTCACTGTCTAACCTCAACCAATCCACGAAGATGCGCGACCATCTTCCATTGTACTGAGATAGACACCTGTTTCTAACCGACACGGATTAGCTCCACTGGTCACGGCTTCTCACCAGAACTCCGAAAATCTTCTCACGAAGCTAGTCACTAGTGAGCACATGGTAATTATCATTATAGGGGTTGTGGAGATTGTTAAGTTTTGATTGAGATGATGAACCGATTGATGGTCCAGGTTTTCAATGGTGGTCTAACATCAATCGGTTCATGATCTCAATCAAAAACTTAACAATCTCCACAACCCCTAAACTGATAGTGTTGTAACGGGTCACCGTAGACTTAACACGATAATTATTGGTATATTTTTCCGACTATCCTAACAGATAGATACTTTATGTGTTGGATTCATTTCAAGGTAAAATGATAAAATTTTCTTTTATCCATTGCATTTTAGTCAATGATGAACTTTCTCTAAAACGTTCTTCAACTTCAAGTACATTGATTGGAAACACTACTAAGCCGAGTAGTAATAATAGTAGTGGTAGTAGTAATAGTAATAATAGTGACACATTGATGAATTCACTGTCTACTTCTACTACCACTACTACTACAACACAATCTGGACTAAATAAAACTGTTAACTCTCATTCAACTGATGGTCATTTATCAAATAACAGTCAAACAATAACAACAGTAAATAAATCACCAACACGAACACTGCATGTTGCTGGTCTTACTGTTGGACCTACTGGACCTGTTACATCTGAACAACTGACGACGGCGTTTCGTAAATTTGGTGATATCATAGTGAGTTTCTGATAGTTTATATGCATATATTGTAAAATTTTAAGTGTTGTTTTTTGGTATCGGTATTAATTTACTAATCCAAACAATCATTAGAGAGAGAGAATAGAGAACAGTATATTTATGCTTGTGTTATCAGTTGTCTAAAAGAATATCGACGTTCGTACACTGAAAAGAGTCAGCGGTAAACGCTCACTTCTATTAATGTTTTAAAACAAAGTTGGTTAGAAATTATGACCGATAATAAATATCCCATTAGATGTTGGCATCCCCAGGTTGTTCCCGTAAAATTCCTCAACAATGTTCTTCACCACAAAATTTTTTCAATCTCTCATATTGTTTATTTTTAGAGTCGTTTAAAAATCCCCATCATAATAAAAGACTAATATTTGAATGCGGAATATTCTCCGTAAATTCTCTTCAGGTTCTACAGTTATATATCCGAATTAATAATCCGAAAAAATGGCCAGGTTAAGGGCAAAGTACATCGTTTGAAGCATATGAGTTTAGGATTGTGTTAAAACAAAATACAATAAAATTGTTAATGTTGATATGACTCAGATAGAATGTTAACTTGAATCTACATTCTCATTCATCCCTCCTTATTACGTCTTGCTAATTTTTTCATACAATGTAGTCTTCCATTAAACATTTGACCGAATTGTAATTGCACTATTATTTCTCTCACCCTATCTGACCCATATTTTTAGAATGTTCAACTTAAACCTAGTTCTAGTTCAGCTCTTATTCAATTCGCTGAAATGCGTGGTCCCATTCGCGCAATGAATGCTCATGCTCGTGAACCGCTTCGTTTAGGTGGTCGACCACTCTCACTTGCTTATACACCAAGTACACCGACAACTAGTTTATGGATATCAGACCTACCACCTTCATTGGCTAATTTGACAGATGAAGAATTATTACATACGTTATCACAAATTGCTCCCATTCAAGAAGTAAGTATTATTAATTTTCCCCATGTATATATAGGGAGAGTTACAGCTAAGTAACCCACTAGTATTGTAAATTATAGTTTCAATATGAATTTGATCCCAATTACCGAAATAGGGAAATCATGTAATTGTTTGACTAATTATTAGTGTAGTCTTTTTTTCGCGGGAATTCTAAATTTCATATATTTCACACAAAAATTTCTAAAACAAACCCATCTAATTTCACTGCTATGTTGCATGTATGTATGCGTATTTGTTTTCACCATGATTGTTTATTCTAAACTGTGCTATTTGCTTGTCTGTTCTATGTACTTCGACAATTATGTTTATTACATAGTGACGATGATGTTGGTTCCATTGTATATTATTATTATCATCAGATTAACGTCAAATTTGATGCATTTGTATACAATCAGAAATTTTACATGGAAAAATTAGTTTTTTTCAACCATCATATTATGACTTTTTGTATCCACAGTAAAAACACGTTTACACTTGTAGTATGTAAACACTTGACATTTTTGTCTATAAATGTATCTTCACTACTACCTAAAATTGTATTTATCCCCTTACCCGTTTTTTTAAACTGTTTGTAGTTTACTACACCCACTCACATTCTTTCGCGTTTATTATTTCTTATGCGTACACATCAGATATGGTGTGTATATGAAGTTAATTTCACATGGTTTAAGTTATTGATGCGATTGAAGTTTGATTTTTCAGACCAGTTTTGTTTTTTGTTTTTACAAATCAGATTTTTAATTGTATGTATCATACATTTTTATATAAAGGAACTACTTTTCTATTCAGTTCACCGGTGTACACTTTTAATAAATCTTTTGTATTATATTTGATTGTGATCTGTAGACTGTCACAAGTATACTAAGATAATGTTCTGTTCGCGTAGACACTACAATTTGCGTGTTACAGGAGACGTTTATAATTTCTTACGAATATGAAAACTGTCCAAAATAACGTATAATGTTTTCCCCTTTTTTTTTAAATCAAATTTCAAAGTTATTTCGTAGTTAACATCACGGAATAATCCTAGTTAAATAACCGTTGAAAACTAAGATGTACTGGGAAACTGTCTCTTGCTAGTATTGGCTCCTGAGCAGTGTGTTTTCATGAACAAGCCACCAGACATTGAACCCAGAACCTTCGGTCTTACGCACGAGCACTTAACCTCTAGACCATTGAGTCGGTATCCAGTGTTGGCGGGATTGTGGAGTTTCATGCCACTGTCCAGTGCTTCCGGATTTTCGGTGGCTGCTTAACTATGACCATTCGTTTATGTTAAGTATGAAATTGAATAAATCTCTATTTTCCCGCCCCTACAGTAATTTTAAAGTTATTCCCAAGTTTATTATCTTCTGATCATTTGCAACCTTTCGTGTTCTTTACTAACTAATCGTAATGATTAAAATTCTTTTATATCCTTTCACTCCTTGGATTCTTTCAGAATTTTAATAGTGAAAAGTGTATTAATTTAGAAATTGGCTAAAACGTCCATGTTTCAAGTATGACTGTTTAGAGTGACATTCAACTCCGAGTTATTTAGTCTCTACATCAAGACTCATATATACTCAGATTTTTTTCTTATCCATCACTATAACTCTAACTCTCACTTGTTTTTTGCATAGAAAGTTGACAAAATGTTAGGATGTTATTAAACTTGTACAGTTTATTCTAGTCGGTATATATTTTTCGCCTTGTTTATCATTGATTGATACATGCTCATTTGTACCAGTTCATACGTTTCATGAAGCAATTGATTCGTTTCCCACCCACATTTCTAACACACAGAGGGCGAAGGAAAATGCACGGTTTTTGTTTAGAGGATAAACATCGAAAGTGAAGCCTACTACTTTGACAACTGTTTATTGCCTTGTTTCTTAAAAAAAGCTTTATAGATGAAAAGTAACAAACACGTCGTGTCCGTCAGTCAGCTACAATGTAGGACCAGGCACATACATGCATCGGTCCAAGTTGCCATACCTCATTAACACAACCAAGTGGACACCGGATTCATAAAAGTAGTTAATTCAGAGGTGGTAATATATAAAAGATTGCATATAAGGATATAGTACAGGAAGAGAGAATTAGTTCGTAGAAAGAAAGATATGAAGCGATTTTAATCTCTTAGTTTAAGGGAAGACAGAGATTGTATACACCGACGCCATTGTGATCGATTCTGAGCCATGTCACCCAGAGTCTCCAACCATTGGTTACGATAGTCACTTAGACTCCAACCAAGTAGTCTGCATCTACCAACATGGCTCAGACTAGAAGTTAGTGTCTTCAAGCACTGATGCCACGTTTTGGTTTTGCTGTCCCTAACTTTCTTCCAACCATCCCGAACACCGGTTAGCATTGCACGTCGTGGTAATCGGTGTTCGGGTATACGTAACACGTGGCCCAACCACCTCAGTCGATGAAGATTCACAACCTCATCAGCTTTTCGAATCCGTGCTGAGATTTCGTCAGTCATCAACCCATTAGAGTTGATCAGACTTCCAAGATAAGTGAAGTTGTCAACGCGTTCTACTACTTCACTCCCTATCCTTAGTTCAGGTGTTGACGCAGACCAGTCCTGAAGCAACAACTTGCATTTAGAGGTTTAAACAATAAACCACATCTTCACTGTAAACCATGTGTAACTGCTAACATTGTTTGAACTACCCCCCCCCACACCAACATGTTCATTGATAATCAAGTTAACAGGATCTTATGTGTTGTTTCATTGCCTAAAAAAGGTTTGTAAAATGGTATAGTACCAGTACTATTTTTTTCTACTCCAAACATTATTTGCCACTCCCTATACTAATCTCTATATTTTATTTAAACTAATTCATCGATTAAAACAGTAAACATTTCCTTATCCTTTTAATTGCCCAACATATCATAATAATATAACTTCCTGTCTCTATATTGATGTACATAAAACTAGAATAATGATAATTACATTATTATTACCTGCATACTTTATTTGTCTAGTTCATAATGTCCCCTTTCATCAATAATGTCTGATCCTCTTACTTTCTCATCATCCACTACACACCATAAATTCCATCTCAGTACTTAACTCTCTCTTTATCTATTTAGACTGCTATTCTGTGTATACTATATCTCTGATCTTTTTATCTTGTACTGGTGAAAAAACAATTAAAGAAGAGGGAAAATCAAAAATAGCCTATTCCCAAATCAATTCAAACATGTTTGTGTGTATCTGTCTGGAAAAAATACACTTTTTTCTAGTTTGTTTCGTCCCCACCAGAGTTTTATTGTAAGCTTTGTTTTATTTTCATCTATGTCCGACATCACCTAAGAAACAATGGCATTGTCTTTGCCGTCACTATTATCATCATCGCTTTTCAGTAATTGAAATGATCCCAGAGATTGTTTTCATAATTCCAAACGGAGCTATAGACATCATTATCAACGATTCGATTTAATAATTTCAAATAGACTGAACATTTGAATTTCTACAAACACTATTTGAATAATGAGCAATAGGATTTCACAACCGTCAACACAGAAAACAGACTCGTTGTTGTACAAATAATGGACATTGAAAAATCATCTTTGAAATTTTATCACTTACTCCTTAGAATATTAGGACCTACCTGACTGGTATATAACACAGTCCAACAATAAAATTAGTTTCCTTTACAAGTTTATTCTGAAGATTATCAGCCACATGAAACAGATTACTATTCCAAACTATTATGTCATTTGATGAATTAGTGTTAGTTGTTAAACAGATAAATTTTATTCAGATTTTCACAATATTTTATCCAGTGTGTGTGTGTGTCGACTAAATCACTCTTACGCAATAAATCGCTTCTCATTATACTAGTTAGTTACTTTGATGCTTCTATTCTCTAGGTTTACTATACTTATAACCACTGTTTACCTCATAACAATTGACATCCTGTTTGTATTGCATATACATATCCTGATGTTCAAATGTCTTTGAAGGTGTTTTTTATTCTATTGGAAGTAAATAAAGTACTTTTAATGAATAAAGAAAATGTTTCCTTTGAAAGTCAGCATACATTAATAAGTATTTATAATAATTGTAAATTTATTTTAGATTGCACTTATCAATCGTACTGATCAAAGTACACGTAATCAATCTACTCCGTTGATTTCTACATCTCCACCTCATTGTGCAGCTTATATAAAATTAAATTCAACTGAACATGCAATTCGTCTATTAACTGAATTACGCTGTTCCAAACGTTATTCATCTCCTACACCACCGATCACTACTACAGCTTCATCAACAACAGGAATTACAATAACTGGTCAGAATGTAAAAACTTCAACACGACGTCCTATAGCAGTTGATTTTGCTAGTCCTAGACAATCAAGTATTGTCACTAATCTACAGTTAAATGCGTCAAGGTATGTATGTATATATAAGCATTTGGTTTAGTTACTTCTTTTTTTAGGAAAAAAAAGTGAATGTATTAAAACATCCTTCTTGAACAGTTTTCATGCTATTTACTCTCACTTACATTGTTTGCTAACAATATCATATCTATCATTCAGATTGTTTTTTTTTCTCGGGACTATAGTTAACTTGAGTTGGTGTTTCACAACTATCCTCAAGATTAGACATTTGCACAGATCCAATTTTCAAGGGTATAGTCTTCAAATGTTTCCATCATGGACAAAAGGTATATTAACGATTGGAAAAAAGAGTTAGATAACGTATTAAACACTAAATGATTGTTGAGTAATAACTTATGTCTTATTTGTGTTATATAGAGATTTTACAGTAGTTATTAGTAATTGACTCCTAGTCTGAGTGTTTCAACATCACCTACGCTGTGTTTTGATATTGCAGAGTAAAATCGCAAATCACCTATAACATTCAAGTATTTCTAGTTAACAGTTATAATGAAAAAGAAAACAGTTAAACAGAATCTGGTCTTAAATGACCAATAGTGAACTGTTTCGCCCATCATTATTTCTTGTGTGCCTCTCTAAAATGCGTATTTCATAGTGTTAACAAATGTTAAATAAGAAGTTGATTTCCCCTGTTTGCTTCTCTAAACTGTATGTTCTCATTAGTTCATTATTTTAGGACTTAACCTTCCAAAAGTAACAACTTTAATCTTGCTTATTTTTATTTTATTTTTACCTATTCAAGATCATCTTTAAATTCTCATCGTGTTCGAATTATTTCATCATCCAACACTGTGGATCGATGGGATTCATCAAATAAAACCAGTAATTTTCAACCACCTACCGCTTCTACAGCAATCACGACATTGACTTCGAAATCAACTGATTGCAATAGTCGTAATTCTTCTCCCGGTTCCGTATACCCTCTCACTGTTCACTCAGCATTGAATACTAACACTAAGACTTCATATCGAACGTCAACGCAAACATTAACACATCACACCTCTGGACTAGCCTCTAATCATAATAATCAAAAAAACAATTTGCTTAGTCATCCTTTGACAGATGTCAATAAAGAAGTTAACGAGGTGAAGAATAGTAGTAATTTGTTTATAGAAAAACAGTCTGAAATAATTTCAAGGGAATGTTCCAATCGAAAGTCATCACGTTTAAAATCTACTAATCAATCGAATCAATTATCAGATCGTACTTATCACCATCGGTTAAAACGATCACATGACAGTAGCCCGAGTAGCTTTAGTACCAGTAGCAGTAGTAGTAGTAGTAGCAGTACAAGTGTGAGTAGTGATAGTACTAGCAGTAGTAGTATTAGTAGTACATCAATATCATCCTCAGGAAGCTCTATAAGTGCTTCATCTGGAACATCTTCTAAATGTACTGGTTCATCAAGTCGTCTTACCAAGGCTCCGTCTATAAAAAGTAACCATAAATCAAAGTCCATCGATGCACATGACAACAAACGTTCAGATAAACTATCGGAACGCAGTTCATCCTCAAATTGCGGTCAATTAAAAGTTCATAAATCTCTAAGTACTGGAAAACTCAAAGAAAATAAGTCCTGTAGAAAAACTGATTCGTCACACTCGTCAAACACACAAAGTTCAAAGTCTGCTGATTCATATTCATCGTGGCTAGCAGATACACCATCTGATTCGTCTTTTGTTCAACAACCTCTAAGAGTTATGACAGTCAATTCATCTGTTTTATCACCTATTCGTAGTTCGGCCGCTAGTAGCGGTGGCCTCTCTAGTCCTGGAGGATCTTCCTCTTCCATCATAGGAAATAATAATATCCGACGAACGCCGAATAATGGGTGTGAAACTCTACCTAACGGTTGTCAGTCCGAATTTATTGGTCCAGTACCTAATCATCATTCGTCTTTGAGATTATCGGCATCCGCACAACCACTCACTCATACGCCTACAGTTTTAACTATGAGCGAGTTTAGAGTTAGTCCAACGCCAACAGCTTGCTCTGTCAGTGCCAGCAGTGGAGTAAGCAGTGGTGGTCCTAGTTTCAGCAGTACAAATAGTAGTGGAGGAGGCAGCACTGGTAGTAGCCCATTAACAAGCAATAATTCAACAACGAATCACTTTCAATCTGTAGTCGTCTCCAAATCTAACTCCAATAGCCAAATTAAAGTTACTTCGTCATCTCCTTCATTGAAACGCAATGTTTCACAATCCAATGGTAATGATAATTCTCACTGTGGGAATACAAATAAATCGCGAACATTCAGTGACTCTCCTTCAAGCTTAAAACTTCATTTATCTTCTAACCCTGCATTGGCTTCATCCTCCCCAGGTTCAAATAGTCCCTCATGTACTTCATCTACAACACCGTTAACGGTTTCAATAAAACTTACTGGTATTAATCGATCGTCGCAGCCTAGTAATTTAATTTCTCCTTGTAGTCTTTCCGAAAATACTGAGTTGTTTATGTCAAACCACGATAAACAAAGTAATGATTCACTGCCCTTAACTCCAGTTTCAGCTCCTCCGCTTAGATGTAAAACATCTCGACATACATCTATTGATCCTAGACGTTGTAATATCGGAGTAGAAGCACCAACTGTTGGTGGAGCCACCAATGATATTACAGATTGGTGGAGTAGCGGATCACCTGTCTATGAGTCGATGTATGATAAAATTAAGCGTCGTACAAATAAAGAAGCTGAAGAACGACGTCAACGACAACTTGAAAGTTTTTCTACCAGAGAGAAAAATAGTAAGAAACAAAGAAAGAAAGAACAATCAAACAAGTCTCCACCACAATCCAATATTAATAACAATGTTCCCATTTCTTCTCCAGATTCGTTTAGTAATGAGCAATGTGGTAAAATTAATAACACATTTTCATTAAGCGGAAAATCACATCATTCTATTAATTCAAAATGTAAATTAGATGCTAACCGTTCGTCTAACAAGAAGCATAGTAATCGTCAAAAAAGTGACACTGTTTCAATGCATTCTTTTCTCAGCGATAGTAGTCATCTATCTCAATGGCACTCAACTCATATACATACTGATAAAATTTGCAACGATACAAGTGGGTCACATCTTTTTTCACGAAGAATGTCCAGAAATTTAAACTCGAGAAATAAACGTCGTCGAAGTATTGTCAGCTCTTTATCATCTTCATTATCAAGCGAAGGTGAATGTCACTCGAATTCTCCACCGGAAACTTTAACTCGATTAAGTTTGGGCATGCGATTCCCGGTCTCCGCTACTTATCATGAGTGTATTCGACCAAATAAACCTTCCACTGCTGCCTCCGCTGCTGCAGTTTCAAACCGTAAATGGTCAAATCACCACCTTAGTGATAATGATGATGATGGTGGCGAAGATGACGATGATGATGCTTTAAGTCAGTTAAGTTCATCTTTATCATGTTCAACTAATGATAGTAAACTAGATCCATCAAATTTAACAAAACGAAAACTTCATTTTTCAACAAACAAGTTGAATCAGTTGAAAAATACAAATTTCTCAAGTTTTAATTCTTCTAATCCATTCAGTCGTAATAATAATAATAATAATTATGATATAGATCATCACCGATCTGGTGAACCGAACAAAAAGTCCATTAGTCTTTCAACTGCATTAGAATGGAAAGATACCGGGAAAAAATCAAAATCACACAATAAACAAAATAATAAATGTTCCAAACAATTACCTTCGACCAATGATAATGATAGACATAAGTCTTCAGAAAAATTATCATTTGTTAATAGTGGTTTGCTTAAAAGGCAACGTAATGAAGTTCTTTCACCAAGACCCACAACTACCGATCTACATCCTAATAAACGTAAAAGAGTTTTAACTACACTACAAAAAAATATTGGTGAAAATGATTGTTCTAACCAAATCTATAATCATACAAATCATCATCGACATTTCACCTCACCGAAACACCATCATTCAACTTATCGAAAACAACATATTCACAGTCCAAAGCCGTACTTTTCTGATGATGGCACCATATTAGATTCTGAAGCAGAAGATGTGAAAGGCAGCTTTATAAGTTGTTCTGATTCAGTATCTCACACTACTGGTACAAGTGATCATCATAGTATGAAAGATTCTTATCTTCATCATAGAGGAGATAGACAAATGTCATCTCCTGTACATAGTGAGACTGATGAATCCAATGTATTCGGTTTAGATTCACATATTCACAGTCCTAATTCTAGCCGTTGCCATTCAGACTACATTAGTAGAAAACAAAAAAAGTGTTTGAGTAATTTGTGCACCATGAATACCACTACTGCTAGTACTCTTCAATCTAGAGATGCAGATGGAGATTCCGCATTTGATGCTCTCCTGGATTCAGACCGTTTTTCTGCCAATTCCAAATCTACTATATCTACTGAGCCGATGGAACAATGTGAACTTGATGAAGATGATGATGACGATGCAAATAGTCCATGCTTGAAATTCACTGATGGTGAAGATGATGATGAGTGGCGTTCTGGTATAGCATCAAGTTCACCGAATCCAGTTCATTTAGAATTTGATGATGGTGACGATGATGATGACGACGACGATGAGGGTTGTGAATTGCTAGATAGTAAACCTGAACCAAATACTGTTACTTATCAATCTGATTCATTTGTAGAAAAATTGTCGAATTCCATTATGGAGTCTTCAGATGAAGAGAAACCTCAAGATACTACTTTAAGGCTACAATCTTCTATCAGTATGAATAATCAGCATTCTTTATCTTCTTGTTCATCATGTGGTACAGGTGAAAAGAAAGTTGATAGTAGTTTTAATGTATCTATTAATGATAACGATAATGATAATCACGACAAATTAAATCGATGTGATTCACCCACATTGTCGAACAAAATGTCTCCAACTGGTGGAGATCAACACCTCCACTCTGATGAACAACTATCAATCAAGCCAGAAACAACAAACAAGCAACCGTTGAGTTCTGTCATGATTGAAGAAATTTCAATCAAAGTTCCTTCTCCAAATCCAACTGAATCAAAATCTAATAAAGCAGAAAACTGCTCTCCTCCTCTCTTACAGACTATTGTTGTTTCTCAGTATTCTACTGTTCATAGTTTTGAAAGCAATAATGTACCATCATTAAGTAATAATCATGACGATGTTGATCATTCAAATGCAACAGGAGCCATCAGTTCTTTTAAACCTTCAGCTGAAAATGTTACAAATAATGACTCTTCTACTGCATACATTACATCTTTGAATAATACTGTAGATTCTCTAAAAACTAATTTATCTTATTCTACTCATTCAGAAATAACAGTAGTCAATGAAACAAGTCTTGCCAAGGAAATAACAACAAAATTATCTCCAAAGAATGATATTTTTCACCAAATATCTTGTGTTCCTACTTCTATTATTTTCACTCAATCAACATCATCTGTCTCACCACATGATTCAGTCTCTTTCAGTTCAGTATGTACATTTCCTAAATTAATTAATTCTCCCCTAATTCTTGACAATAAACCTGTAAACTATAAAGCTTGCGAAAAATCACCTGAAACTGTCATTCAAGTAGATCATACAGTTCCACGTCAAACATGCTTGAGTAATGTAAAACCGATGACATCTATATCGTCTTCAATGTCATTGAATTCTCAACCGACTGAAGTACATGATATTACTCGTTATGTTCAAAGTGTTATTGAACGAGTTAAGGCTGAACGTGTTGAAGAAAATCAACAGGCAGCTGCGGCTGCTGCTCATTGTCACCATTCTACTCACCATCCAGCTACCTCTTCAATGTCGGTTCCTACATCAACGTTATCGACTACATCCATGAATCAAACACCTAAAGTTTACAACGAACAAAATACTTTGCCTGGAATGGCTTCACCTCATAATAGGCGATCATACAGTGGTCAACGCCGTTCACTCCTTGTTACTGTAAGTACATGTTCTCCATCAAAAACTAATTCTTCGTCTAGATCTGCGAAGTTAGTAAGTCCTAATGCACATATGTCTGGTCATCCTGTTGCGACGTGCAGTGTTGATTTACCAAGTGTTCATGTCCCAAATCCAACTATACCCTGTACATCTGGTTTACTTCATCCTAAAATATCTTCTGATCTACAACTACCCTCTATTCCGGGAGTCAATGCTTGTGCACCCCTCAATTTACCTGTTGGTCAGGTGAATAGCACTCGTGTAACAAGGCAATCATGTGGTACGCTCGACGGTTCACAAACATCTTTAAAGCGATCTGATATTTGTCATAGCAATTTAGATACATCTACTGCATTACCCGTTAATCATGCAAGTCGTCGTCAAAGACGTTCTGAAAGTAAGGCAATATCAAACACTGTTCCTGTGTTAAACGATACCACTGTGTTTTCATTTTCAACACCTACGGTTTTAACATCTTCAACTGTAGTTAATCCGACTTTAATTCCCGTTTCTTGTGCTCCATCAACTCTATCTACTAAATCAACGGAACCTATTATTCCAAGTCATTCTGTGATAACGACAAGTTGTTCCCAAATTGCGCATAGTGGTGCAACGTTGTCTTCGGCTGATTGTGTACAAAAAATGAAAAGCTGTAATATTCACACATCTGTTGATCCTTATGAACCGAATTTTGATGAAGAATCACCAGTTGGTTTCAATCCAGCTCAGTTACATCATCATCGATCATCTCCGTCATTATGTCCATCTCCTACTTCCACTCACCAAACTCGTAAAACGCCTTGTACTACAGCTGAAAACATGACTACCACAAATTTTCAATCTCTTCCTTCTACAACTGTGGTGGTTGCCTCGTCATCACCAATTAACTCATCACCAGGACTTGTAGTGTTAGATACGAAATCTATCAGACATCCTGAGATAATTTCATGCACCACTACTGCTCCATTATCTGTATCTGAATCTTCCGTGTTGAATGTACCACCGGCCACTTTCTGTGTTACTTCTAGCCAGTCTGTTGATACAGTAGATGAAGTGATTAGTGATGTATGTGCTGGTCATTTTGATGTTCAGAGTTATCTCAAAAATTGGTCATGTAATACTGTTAGTAGTCCTGCTACTACCACGATCGGAACAACTATTAGTACAAGTAATATTCAATCATCTAAAATTTCCGTCAACAATCCATTACCACATGAATCTATATCGTTACCTAGTATTTTAACCAGTATATCAACGTGTACTCCAACCATTACTACTACTACTGCTGCTACTATTGCTACTACTTTCCCTACTATAAGTATTACAACTAGCCAGTCATTACAAACGGTTAATTCAACAATAGTAACTAATATATCAAATACCCCAACAGGAATACCATTTTCTCTTCCTATAACTAGTGAACCAATTGTAGCCGCTGTTACAATCCCGACTGGAAAAACTAGTAATTTAGGCAAGAATGATTCAAGAAATCCTATCAATATTGGAACAGGAAGTGCAGTTCTCAATACTCTTCTTGCTGCTTTACAACTTATACCAGGTAGTCAAGTAACAGTGACTGGTCCAGCGGCAGCAGCTGGAGTTGTTGGTAATAATAATTCACGTACAATTTCTGCAGCCACTATTACACTACCTGTGAATGCAGCTCAACAGGCTGCTGCTAATATAAAGGTTTGTTAATATTTGTTTTCATTTTATTTGAACTTTATTTAATTATGTATTATTTACAGTCATTTCTATTCAAAATGAATAAAATAGTTGGATATTCTCAGACTTTAAACAATAATTTATCACTTTGATCTACTTTTTTATCATTATTAGCTCTATTCAATATTACATTTTTGGTATAATAAAGTATTCTCAGTACACAATATTTCAGCGAGTGGAGATTTGTAGCTCAGGTGAATGATTTTGATGGAGTTTTGTTCTCTGAGCTGAATGGTTTGGCCGTGGAGCTTTCATCGTCCTTCTGAACGACATCAGCACACATTAGGTGTACCAAGCTGTGAACCACATATAGAGAAATTCGAACGCTTCACTTCTATCTGAAGTTTGTGCTGATGTTGTTCAGAAGAACGATGAACAGAGCCCCATCAAAATTTCAGCGAGTTTCCGTTTCTTAGTTCTTGATCAATATTGAAGATAAATATTGGGTGGCGACCAGTTAGATATGAGCATTTCAAAAGTTGACATCTGAATAATATTCATTCTTTTCAATCCATATTGCAAGCCATCACAATGTCTCCGATTGTATATTTTGTAACTTGTACAGCGTACCTGAATAGGTTGTGCAATTAATTGACATAATGATCTGTTAAAACAAGCAAGGAAACAGATGACTTGTTGAAATATCTAGACATCAGGAGCAGGTAGCCCAGATATTCAAGCAGGCTACCTTATGTGCTAACTTGAATTGTGACACACTTATTCCATTCAATAAGTTAGTCATCATGAACATAGGACTAAAGTGCATGTGATTTTAGACCGAATTGTTATAGCACATTAACACTGCAAGATGAAAATAACAAGAGTTAGAAATAATGTACTAACTAAATTGTGAGAAAGACTGAACATTTGATAACATAGTTAGAGTACACTGTAGCTGCTACAAAATAACGTAATGGTTAGGCTTTCAAATTTTAGTGTTCCAATAGAACTATATTGGCTAGAATACGTGTTCTTTTAAATCCTGTCATCTCAGATATGTCAATTGCAGAGTAGTAAAACTGGAAGCGACAAACTTGAAGCCCGAGAGAGTAGAGTAGTACTCCGTACCGTGCAGAAAGTTGTGAAATATATATATAAACAACTAGCATCTCTAGCGACACTGTCTTCCCATAACGGAAGGGAAAATGTTCGAATAGGTCGTTCATTGAAATACTATAATTCGCCTTGTTACAACCACCTCCATACTTTAACAGCACTCGGAATCTCTTTGTTCACATTCTAATACCTTTCATACCTATATTGACTATGACTGATCGTTTATTTTAAATATTTAACTTCCAACCACACTGTCCACATATTTTTGAACCTGGATCCCGCACACATATTGCATAGGCGCGTGCTTCAGCTTAATAATTGATGTATGAACATCCAGTCGGTCGTTGAGTTACATTATTGTCTACCAATTTCAATGAAAATGTTATTATTAGTTTCTCCAAAAATGTAGAACAATCAGTTTGTATGTGTATTCTCGTGACCATATGATATATGGTCATAGAGTAGTATCGGAATTTTAACTCCAAAGTAACTGATAATGAAAAGCAGTTGTGTTTTCCAACAGGTGATTACAACCAAAAAGGGCTTTACTTGTTCTCGTCAATATTTTATAGTTGAATGTAATTCACCTCAAAATGCTCACAATAATCATGCTATTCTATGTTTTCCATGGTTACATTTGTTTGTTTGTTTTTGTTGTTGTTATTCATTTCCTAAAACCGTACAGGCGGCTGTTTTATCTGTCACAAATCCGAACAATAATCAGGGGAAAGCAGCTAACATTACCTGGAACCAACAAGATTCATTGAATATAAACAAAAACACGACTGAATCTACTCACAATGAAACTAAAGTTTCACATGGAATTTTTACTCCACCAGTTTGTGTAACCTCAGCAAATTTAACCAATACTGCACATAATAATCGTTTAACTACTGCTACTCATCAACTCAATACTACACCAGTAGTTTCCACGTGTTCAGTCGCTCAGTTACCGTTTAATAATAACATCTACGTAAACAGTAATATAAACAATACATCTTATCAACATCCTAAGATATTGCAATCTGGTTGCACAATGAGTGAATCAGTCACTGCGATTACAACAACAACGTCTCAACTTTATCCTTTACAAACGGCAATGGAGTCTGCACCCGTGAGACCACATTTGGCATCGGCTACTACAGTTACCAATAGTACTATTGCTAGTAATAGTAATAGTATTAGTACTACATGCGATCAATTATTGAATAGTGCGCCCGTATTCGCTTCGTGTGGTAAATACACTAGTGTTACCCCGACACCAATTTCACAACATTCCTCTTTGGTGTCTCATTCTCAACAAAATAATAACATATGCACAACAAAACAATCATTCGTTCCACCTTCATCACCAATCGTAACTAACGGTACTAGTCATCCTCAGATTACTTCAAGAACTGTCTCAAATGCGCCACCTCCACCTACATCACCAGTTGTACTTGGTCGAAATTCTGCTGTTTCACCGTTAGCCAATCCTGTTTTGCAAACATTAATCGATCGGCTAGGTGGTAATGTTGAACCTTCTGTTGCTATTGCACTATTCCATGCAGCTCTTAATGGTTCTAATATGAGACGTAACCTTAATGATAATACAACCGATACACAAGTTAATCCTTATTTAAGACATGTAGCTCAACAGTTTCTTGATAATCGGGGTTGTAGTGGTCCTGTCAAACCATCGATTCCAATCAGTCATTCTGAATCTCAAGTTCACTCAGCTAGTAGTATATGTGCCAAAAGTTTGTCTCCATCGCTAACTATGCAGCATATTCCTGTGACTAATATCACTTACAGTTCAAGTCCTCATCGACCTCCAGCTTCGGGACTTCCTTTCGTTTCTCCTGTACTAATCAATCCTGTAGATCCTGACATAATTCAAGTTGATCCTAGTAGCAATAATATTATATCTCCACCGGTTGTCTCATCTCGTCTTCCAGGATCGGACCCACCTCCAATAAATAATATTACTACTAATTCTGATGCCCAATCTTGGAACACGCTTGGTTCAGTAAGTATCTTTGTGTAAACTTACCGTTGTTAACATAGTTTTCGAAGGAATTGCTTTTTAAATACCAATTTCACTTATCTTGAATATGGTTCTCAATATTCTTTTAAATGTCATGGTAATGCGCATTGGTAACTTGCACCAATCCACATTTCTTTCAGGTCCCTTGCTTGTTTATAACTAAATGACTAGAATGTCATCCACAACGCATCTTAATTAGGAAGTTTTAATGTGAATGTTACAATAAATAAAGCTAAAAGGATCAATATAACCTTTGAGAATCATAGTTGTGTTTCACAGTTGTATATTGTGAAATGTGGTCGAGTTCTATTTCTATGTTAATTATGGTTACCCTCTTCACTTGAATATTCATTAAAATAATCTGGTCATACAAAAAAATTCTCCAATGCAAATCACGGCTATATCCGCTTCTAAAGTTTCGATATCTTTTGGTGGCGAACTTTGTAACGACGTTTTTTTACTGAATGACGTTACATCACTCAACGCACTGAGGTTAATACTTCTTACCACATTGATTCTAAAGATCAATTTGTTTTTTAGGCATCGCTTAGAAAATAAGATTTTTAACAATTTCCAACCATTTATTCAAATCTAATTAGTTTCGGTCTGTCTAGTTGGATTGTAACATTCAAATTCACAAAATTAGCATATCCCACAAGTAGTTGGACAAACTTGCGTTATGGTTCATGAACCTATAAAATCTTTCATTGTTATATGACGAAACGATAATTTTTTTATTACATTAACACGAGGTTTATTTAAATGTTTTTACAGTCCTATCCTTTAGTTTGGCAAGGTCGTTTATCTTTGAAAAACATGGAAACTCGTGTCGCTCTACATTTTGTTCAAGGAAATCATAATTTACTTAATGCTTGTATGACGTTACTAGCTTCTGGAGGCGGTGGTCAACCACAATTCTCCTTAATCACAAGTGGTGGACCTTTACGTATAGTTCAAAGAATGCGATTGGAACCAGCACAACTAGAAGGTGTTCAACGTAAACTTAATCAAGAAGGTGCTTCATGTGCTTGTCTAGCGCTTCCTGCTGGCAGTAGTCCTGTTGAGTTAGCACAACAAACTCAAATATTAAATGAAAATTTCATTCGTTACATGCAAGAGAAAATGGCTGCTGGTATTATCAACGTCGGGCATCCAGATTATCAACAAGTAGGTTGAGTTTGATTTATTTCATTAGTTATTCATTTCACAGATTGATACCCTGTCTTCGCTATGTCACTCGTAGCTTCCCTTTAAACTACTCCTTCATTAGTTAACCACTGAGCAGCAAATTAGTTCCTAGTTGGTTATACAGTAAAATAAATCTGAACCACCTCACATGATGACCAAATGATTTTTTCTTATTTGCCTAATACTCTGTCTAACCTCTCAACGTACACAAGCAAAACTTCAAAGACACTTGTAATCAAATGCTCTAATTTTAATGGATATGTTTTGCAAATCGATGAGTATAATACACCGTCAACTTCTATATTGTAATCTCAACCTACTCGTCCTTTTTTTAAAATAAAAAACTACCTTGCTCCGATGATTATCAACCTGTATTGAACAAGTACCATAGGGAAACTGCCTTTTTATTAAAAAATAAACTGTATATTTGTTTATTCTAATTCAATAGAATAATCTTGAATATCCTTTATATTAGTAATAGTAATAATTGGCATTTCAAATTCTCGTTTCTTTTCTCTCCTTTCTTTTTAACTAATCTAATCATGAAAAATACTACTGCTGTATCTCGTCGGTATACCATTAACCAATTTATCAACTTATTTATTGATTTACTAAAGGCACATGATAACGATAAGGCTATAGGGCGATTACTTGAATAGGATGAAAGAGGAGGAGATAGGGTTTTATTATTTCTATTTTCACTATTCATTATTCTTTTTTGTTATGGTCGTTTTGCCCATTTACATCTGCCCGGGCAAATTGTATCGATCGATAAGATACTGATCTTTTTGGCCTATATATATACACTGGCATCATATAACCATTAACCATTGTCTCTACTAATCCATTTATGGACTGAATAAAATCGATCATATATTGATGCAGTCTGACCTATGCTGATTTGTGATTGGTCGAATTTTAATTCATTTATTTGTTCGTATTTTATTCACCATGTAACAAGAGACAGAAAAAAAAAATTACAGCCTAGGTTAGACACGACTGGCCTAAAATAAATTCTTTTTTCTAATCTTTGCCTCTTTTTAACGTCTCTCTCTCTCTCACACACACACACACACACTATATTTTCTTCCTGTCTCAGCAATCGTTTGTGTTGTGTACAAAGAGAAGAGATGTTGAAAAAAAAACTGCTTTGTTTTCAATGTTCTTTTGTTGGACTAAATTAGAATTGTTATTATTATTATTATTATTATTATTCAGTCCAGACCATTGATGATGAAGATGATGATCATATATTAGGCGAATAATCTTGAAGCTTGCTGTTTGTTCGTTTGTTTGTTTGTAAAACAAGATTGAAAGAGGTGAATGATGATGAAATTGTGTCTAAAATGGAAGAATTCTATAGATTTTTATTAAATAGTTTTCTTAAATATTTTATTGAAAACTAGTAAAAAAAAACACTTGGTATAGAGATGATGATATTTAATTACGTTGTATAGTTTAAAATGAATAGACTGTTTTCTGCTTCTCAGTTCATGTCAACACTTATCTTCATATGCAAATACTCTTACTTTATACTGTTCATCTGAACCTTGTTGTGACAGGTTTGGATCTTGATGTTTACCATAACCAATGTTTGGGTATCTAGATGACATGGTATAGAATAGCTCGAAATGTTCCACATACATTCATTCTTTCGTATCAAATCATATTGTCTATGTTTAGTGGTTTATAATATCACTAATATTGTTATTATTTCTCAGTCAGTCAGTTACAACGTAGGACCAGGCACATATATCCATCGGTCCAAGTTTCCATACCTCATTAGCACAAGATGAACACCAAATTCATGGAAGTAGTTAATTCAATGGTGGATTGCATATAAGGATATAGTACAGGAAGAAAGAAAGATATAAAGCAATTTTAATCTTATAGTTTAAAGGAAGGCAGAGTTTATACACCCACGCTATTGTGATGATCGATTATGAACCATGTCACCCAGAGTCTCCAACCATTGGTTACGATAGTCAATTGAACCTTAACCAAGTAGTCTGCATCTACCAACATGTCTCAGACTAGAGGTTAGCGATTTCAAGCACTGATGCCACGTTTTGGTTTAGCCACCCATAACTTTCTTCCAACTAGTCAGCATTGTGCGTCGTGGTAATCGGTGTTCAGGCATACGTAACACGTGGCCCAACCATCGTAGTCGATTGTTATTATTTCTGCGACGAATAATTGCTTGTGGCTTTTCTGATTTTATGTAACAATATGAACTTATGCTTATATGTAACAGCTTTTGATGACAAGTGAAAAAGATTGAATGAAAGAAATAACTTTCTATCCTTCATACTTTTTTATATCAGTAGGTTGCAGATTCAAATGTTGCTTAGTCGATTTTTAATGAAGCTTTACATATTGTACTTCGTTTTTTACTTCTTTCGTAAAGTTTTTTTAATACACTTTATTAACATTCCATAATATAATGACTGTATGTTTCTGTCATATATTTATATACATATAGGGACTTTATGTTGTGCATATTTTTCCACCATGCGATTTCTCCCATGCACAACTTGGCCTAGCTGCTCCGGATCTTCATAGACGTGTTGTACAGGCGAATCAATCTCATTTACTAGTTGTTATAACAACAGTTTAAATGAATGTCTCATCTAATCATCAAACGTATTTTATTGGATAATATGTATACTATAACTTCATTTTTATGAAATTTGTTGAATAATTTATTGTCAGGTGAGTATATTTACAAATAAGTAATCTAATTTCAGATTTAATCATCTTTAAACTATTACAATGGTTGCATTCATTCTCTTGATTTTTTATAAATTCTGTTTAAAAATGTTACCATAATCCAAAGGTCATTATTATTGTTTATATGTTAACTATCTTGTTATCTAAATCTTAATGATCAGCGTACGTTCGCTTAATTAACATTGTCTCCAATCTAATTAACTTCATAATTCATCGTTATCCAAATTATTCATATTGTTTGAGAACACGAATTGATCAATGTTAGACCACTATTGAAAACCTGGAAGCACTTGGCAGTCTTTTCGTTCTAGTATGACACTCCCCAGCAGCGCGCATCCATGATCCTGCATGCAGGATTCCATCTCAGAACTTTCGGTCTCGCGCGCGAATGCTTAACCTCTAGACCAAGGATCTGGCATTCAACAGTGTTACTGACATATTGTGTTTGTCATTTACATTGAATTGGTATTAATATTAACAAGCAAGTTTCTCATGCTACGATTTAATCTTCCGACATAACTAAACATGTGACACTTATAAAAATGTGTTTTTTTTCTTTCCTAACCGAATTATATTTCGTTATCTGCATTATAATTATTGGGTCCATTACATTCAACTAGTCTCGTTGATAGATCATTACCAATATCGGGAATGTATGATTTCTTAAATTTACATCTATGTAGCTTAAAAGTTGTTATATCCATCCCATTCTGTGCCTGTTGCACAGAAATCAGACATATGTAAAAATCATTAGCTCTGGAGAATGATGTTTGCAATTTACAGTGTTCTATTCCATCCTTCACTTAGTGTATAGTAATTAGAATATATCTTTCTAGTCTATTCGTCTCGTTTTATACGATATCAATTTGTTGTAATCTCAGTGATTGTATGTTTTTTTTGGGTGACCTATGAATGTTATGTAATACAGTTCATGAATTATCAGTCTCATGAAATTAATCAACTATAATGTGATCCTAACCTGCTTCGGTTTGGGCACCCGGGCAGTATCATAGCCCTCACACATATCAAATGAGATTTGTGTGGCGCACATGTATTTGGTGCCTCCTTGTACCAATATCTATGTGTTAAAATAAATAAATGTGATCCTAACACTACAATTCAGTTGTTATTATTGTCATTGTTAAAAAAAATTAGTCTCTAAAATACTGATATGTCTAAGCCCTATTCTTTCATATAAGTGCCTTGTCGCCGTCACCATTAACAATGTATTCTTTATCATTGTTGAATATAGAATTATATAAATAGATCGTGGAATTGTTGTATATTTATTATTTTTCATTCTGTTTTTCTTTATTTAGTTCTTCACACTCATACATATAAAATTTCATTGCACACACACCGGTGAGGCACTCGTGTTCATGCATAATCCTTTTTTGTGAACTAACAAACAAAGAAGAACTCTGCTATTGGATTCTGAAATTTCTTGATATGTGGAATTCCTGTCTGGGCCTAATTCGAGAGAAAACACATCCATACATATGGGCAGCATCATCGTTTAATATATATCTTTTTTCTTTCAAATCTACATTCTTTTAAAGAAATACACAACATAAACTGCAAGAATAAGATTATTAAAATGTTTATTGTGTATCCTGTTTCGTCCTTTTTTTATTGATTCAGTTCATTTCCATTTTTAAACCATTCTACTGCACTGTACAGTTGTGTATACGTATTTCCTTCTATCTATCTATCTATCTCTCTGTTTATATCTTTTTCTCTGTCTACTATATTAACTGTTGCTTTTCATTACTTTATGCACCTAGTTACTGCATAGTTTGTTTCTTTAAAAAAATTTCAGGGTATAAGTTGTGTTACATCGTTTATCATCCATACCCCATTTACATATTTCTTTCTTCACTATTATTCGCCTAGAGAACACGAGTTTTATTTATTCTAAATTAACCTTTAGTCATGTAAAACACATATACACACGGGTACAACCGAATACACATACAGTTGGCGCCCTTGTTTACTATTTATGTGCAATAATTCCTGTTTATAATTAGATTGTGTTCGTTTCCCTTCGTGATTGTTTGTATCCAGTATCATATTTATATGTATATACATATAGATGAATAAATATAGGCATCTATATGTGTGAGTGGTTGTACTCCTTTGTTTTTACATCCCGGTGGTCATTTGTCTTAGTATCTTATTGCTGTTACATGGGTTATGTTACTATCCCGTATTTAATGAAACGTTACTTCAACATTAAGTCGTGATTATTATTATTATCACTTTTGTTACCGTTATTAAATCAGTGCTATTCGTCTCAATGTTATCAGTTTGATCCATCCAATGTTATTTAAAAGAGTATAAAAACTAATGGCTTTTTTTAAAATCACTACACATCAACTAAACCTGTTCTCTGAGGATGATTCTACCTAATACTACTACTACTACCACTGCTGCTGATATTGTGCTGTTAATATTCACCATTGTTACTACTGAAGTATTATTTTCACCATCAGTGATAACGACGACGGCTGCACAGATTTATTATCGTTGCTTCACTTCTTGTCAGTTCTCCATCAAATAACACTACATTGTACATTAATAACTATTATCGTATCGTGATAATCACAATATAAAATCTTCTTACGACTATTTATTATCAATATTATTCTCACTAATATTCGTCATTACCAACATCAACATCCATTTCAGTGATCCTAATTGAAGATGCAAAAATTCAACTTACTTAAACAAATAACGTTTGCGTGTGTACAGTTATGGAAATGTCGCTTGTTTATTTGTATTTCTTGTTTCTTGTTGTATCACTCCTTATTTGATTTACTCTATTCACATTTTCATTAGTAAATAAGAACAAACATGTCCGTGTGTGTATACAATGAGTTTATATGAGCATAAATGTAACTGTGTGTGTCCCTAGTGGTTCCCTGTACATTATTTATTTGCTATATTGATCGATTCCTCGTGTTACTTGCTCCACTCTAGCTTGAATGCTGTTTACTACTACTACCATTACTATTAACTCCTTTATGCAGACAACACTTGTACACACAGTTATTATATATATGCATATTCTTTTCCTTGCAACTTTTACATTAGAAACACGAATATATATATATATATATATCCAGTAATTGTAGATTATCTTTTTTGTTTTATTAGGTGGTTACTTACGTGTGATTTTTTAAGAAAATACGATCGATTGCCAGAGTATATATTTCTTTTCCCCAGTATATATATATATATATATATATATATATATATATATATATATATATATATATATGTCGAATGATCTCATACTTCTCTCTGTATTCGTCTCTGTTGTTATTTCTTCTAAGTGATACTTTGTTTTATCGTTTGTTCTTTCTTTTCTAGTTCTCCTGTTCATATAGTACGGGTTAATTGTAACTATTCTCTTTTTGTCCCGTTGAGTCCTACATATAACGCGTGTGTGAGAAAGTTTGTGTTGTTTCACACTGTTTTTACTCCTGTCTATTCCTTAATTGTTTTCCTTCGTCCGCTTGCACTCATACAACTGTCAAACTTTTTACTTATGAAACAGCACTGGTAAAACTGGAACAAATTTATCCAACTATCCCTTATTATTATTATCATCATTGTTATTATTACTATTAATATTATTGTTATTACTGGTCTCTGTATCTATCTATCTATCCATCTATTCAATTTTATCTATTAGATAATTACTGTGTAGGCACACAACGCAGTCACATACACAGGCGCACGTGTTTGTATTGTATAAATTACATTATCGAAAAAATGACCTTTCTCTTTATTTCTCTCACTCTCTAGATATATACTTCTCGTGAGATAGGTTAAACCAGCTTAGTTAACGGCAAGGAATGAGTAGCTTGCCTATGCTATCGCTGATATCGTCAATTCTGTTGACTTCGTAATTTTGGCTATGATTTTCTGTTGATTAAAAAAAATTTACATTTGAACAATAAGTCCTGTTGTTGTTCTTATTCTCTTACAGGTTGTAGCACTATGGTAACTAATATATATTGTAGTTTTCTAATTATTGGTACACAGCATTACGGTATCGTAGTACAGTGTTTTCTACACCTGTAAGTAAAGAATCGATAAGAGTTCCTACATGACCTAGATTTTGTGATGTTGGATACATGGAAGGTCACAAATGAAATGTACTGTGCAAGATTTTTTATAGAATCATGTAATATGATGCATGGTGTATGTATCCATAATCTTGCTTAAATTCTTGGTAGATGATTGGTCAGATTGTAAATATAAAGAAAAGCGAGTTCAGATCGAGCTTTCGGAATAGTTCTTATTCTTCATTATAATATCATACCAAACTTGTAATCGAAAAATTATAGTTCATTCATTCTACAATTGAAGTGTTTCGTAAGCCAATTTCACAACAAAAGTATACTTCTCAACAAAATTAGTTTTTAGTAACACCTCAGTTATCACACAATCCTTCCAGTCAGTTTAATTTTATTGCATTTTTTTAGACAAAAAGCCTATTATCTGTTTGTTTATTTTTCAATGTAACGCAGCGATAGTTCAATAATTAGGGAGCTTGACTTTCAACCATTAAGCCGAGTGTCCAAACCCTATTTCACGTATTTCGGTTTGGACAACAGGGTAGTATTGCTAGGCTTCACACTTTGAGTGCAGCTGAAACTAGAGTACGCGAGTCTATACCTGATAAAATGAACTTAAAAATACTTCCTCTAAGTTATAAGTGCGAAGATTAGTTGTAGTCGAAAAGAACCTAAGTTCTTAGTTGTGCAGTCAATCACTATTGCCATAGCGATAAAAACCCAGCAACAGGACTCTAATGAATAAAGAAATTTACTGAAGAGTTTGTAACTGAGCGTTTATATGACCATCATTTCTCTCACTACAAACCTGTGAATATTTTTATAACTTATTGCTCGTATCTTCACGATTTATCGGTAGTACTGTTAATGTCGAAGGTTTCTAATTGAATCATATGATTTCCAATCATCCTTGTGTGTTTTATCTGTTTTATTAGTGCTAAAGTTTAAAGTAATTAGTCATACTTTTATTTTCAATGGCACTAGTATTGACATATAATAATCCTGTCTAATAGGGCTGACTTAGAAAATATTTGACACTACTTAAATTCTAACATTTCACCAATATCAATGTGACGTTGTTGATCGGTGTTATATCCCTTCCCTATGATTAGTCCAATTATAATCTCAATCAGTCAGTAACAACGTAGAACTTCGTACGTACATCAGTTCAAGTTGACATACCACATTAGCACACAAATACAATTGTCCATTCAAATCTCATAGTGGTAGATGTAGTAAAAATATAAGCGACAATCGGAAAGATTAGGGTTCGAAGATGCTATTCAAGCAGTATAATCCAGTGAAATAAATTTGGAAGGAGAAAAAGAAAAGGAACATGAAGAATTCAGAAGATTAGGATTTGGGAGAACACAAAAAGTGGATGCACCTGTCCGATTGCAAACGATTTTGTGCCATGTCATTCAAGATCTCTAACCATTGGTTGCTATCGTCTCGCGGATCCCAAACAGGTAGTCTACACCTACCAACATGGCTCAGTCCACTTGTCAGTGACTTCATGGATTTGTGCCACATTTTAGTCTGGCCGCCCCTAGCTTTCTTCCAACTTACTCCTACACCATAAAACATCGCTCGTCGAGGCAGTCGGTGGTTGGGCATACATAACACATGTCATAGCCATTTCAACTGATAAAGTTTCACTTCTTCAATTGATTTGCCATCCTTACCTAGTACCCGTTTCCTAACAATTGCGTTACTTACTCGATGGTCCCATGATATACGAGCAATGTTTCGAAGACACCTATGATCAAATACTAGTAGCCTACGGATATCCTCTACTCTTACCGGCCATGTTTCACTGCCATAAAGTAGGACGGAACGAACTGCTGCACAGTGAACACGTCCTTTGGTTGATAGACGGATATCTCGCCTACGCCATAGATGACGCAAGTTGGCAAAAGCTAGTTGAGCCTTCTGTATCCGTGCTGAGATTTCGTCCCACCAGACCACAAGGGCTGGTGAGACTCCCAAGATAAGTGAAGCGATCGACACGCTCAATTATCTTCTAAACTTAGTTCTATTGTCATTATTTGTTATACTCAGTAAATTCAAGTATCTGTTCCATAAAATTGTATATTGTATAAAAACATTCACGAATACTATCCTTAAGTTGGATATTGTTGTCTATTGGCATAAATATAGAATCATCATCAGGGTGATGATGAGACAATTCACTCTTCCAAAAAATGGTACGGGCTCTTGACATCTTAGAATAAACTTTAATGTTTTGATTGGGTGAATACTTTTGTTATCGTTTATCAAAACATTTAAGAAAAAGAAAGTTTAGAGCATAGATTAACGCAAATTGTTAATTAGAAAGGCTGGTTTGTTTTAATTTCCACTATTCCTGATAATGTAGTAAAAAGAACACGGTATTTGGGAAATCTTTTGGTTTCTACAGTTATTAGTCTATGAATATGTTGAGTCAGATAATATGTTAAGAGATAAACAGACGGTTTCTGATGCTGCCAGAAGTATGGGAGCAGTTGTTACCTCTCGGTCGATCACACTGTGTTAGGGAATTCATCAGGTAACTGGGATAATAATAAATATATCTTTGTCATATCCCTATGAGTAGAAAAATTGCATTTCTGACATTTCGTGACTTGGTGTAAATCACTTTCTGAAAGTAAACAAATGAACGAACTTGAATTCGGTTATTTATTTACTCGGAAGAAGTGCGTTACATTAAGTCATGAAACTTCAGAAATACAATTATTCTACTCATCAAGATATGAAAAAAATGTATTTATTATTACTTTCTACCCAATGCTCAATTTATTTTAAACTATCAAGTCCAACTTTGGCATCGATACTTACAGGAAACTGGGATACTTGTCGGCTTTACGACCCTAAATCCCAAGGCACAACTGATTGAGGTAGGTTGTCATTTATCTTTCTGTACATTGTTCTTGATTTTTTAGCTCCATACTTTTCAGCATAATCAACAATGGAAACTCATGGGGAAGAGTAAGTCGTCTTAAGAAGGTACCTTCGCATGAAAGAAACACCATAGTTTTACCCAATATAGTTTCCAGTGCGACTTCGCGGTCAGACATTGTCTGTCGCCTTAAGCTCGACTATTCCCTAACCGATAGACCTAGAAAGGCGGGAACAAGACAGATTGATCTCCCAACTATTATACTTCACATCAATATAGCAGCTAATGTCAGGAGTGCTTACGTATGACTCTAACGACGATACTAATCGGTGTTGTAAATTAGAAGTTAGTAGATCATACATAGACATCTCATTGGTAAAATTAAAAGCTCTATAGGGGTAAGAGCAAAAAACACATCAAGGTGATAAACTCCAATCAACTTATTAAAATGACTTAAATTATGGAGAAACAATCCAATTCCAATCCAGTAAGTATCAATATATAAAAGTCAATTATAAACCCTATAACAGCGTAACACATGACATAAGAATTTATAACTGTACTGCCTCAAGAAAAAATTACTAAAAATAATTATGCACTTAGACATTGTTTTCGCTTCATTAAACTATGGGAACTTATGAAGGAGACGGGTTGAGCTCTACACTTATGTCGAAAAAATAAAAACCTCTCATAGAATACATATTCAGTAAGTACCTACTAGTTATTAGTTATCAATTAGTCATAATCAATATGGGTACTTGTGTATACGTGCACTGATCCTAGTTGCCACACAATAATGACACGATCTGATCAAACCAATCGGATAAATAATGAGAGAAATCGAAACAATGTAGTAGTGATGAGAATAAGAATGACTGGAAGGAAAGGCATGCATAGAGGAATACTGGGACTCACGATCTACAGAGATTAAGAGTGCGTGTATATTCTTTACTGAGATTGGTCCTGAAGTATATCACTTAACATCTTTAACCACTGATCGATGCTATCAAGTGGACCTAATCCAGGATTTGACAACAAGGCTCAAACCATTAGTCTGTGATTTCATGCAATGATGCCTGACTTTGGTTCAACCATCCCCAGCACTCTTCCAGCTTACTCTCATACCAGCTGCCACGGCCCACTAAAGTACGCAGTAGGATGAACAATAATGAGCATATTGTTGTCCTTTAATATCAGTGAGAACTGTTCCATTAGTAACACAGTTAAGCTCAACTAATTACAGCTAACCGC